TTGTTATTGCTTTTATTTATGTTTTAGTTGATGTACATCTCAGAATACTGGCTTTAGGTGCTATGCCTGGATCTAAGTATCTATTTATTTAAAGATTCTCAATAATGTAACATACTCCGTATTATTTGTTCTCTTTCTACCTTGTAATAATTTCTAATTCAGCTAAGCGGTAGTATATTATTGATAATTTGCAAGTTACTACTAGAGGATGGGATGGGTGGGTACATGTATGGATCTTAAATAAGTGATGTGTGTTACTACTATTGTTTGCTTTTCTACTAGTTTGTGAATTGCTTAACTTGTTACTGCTCTTATTTTGGTTAAATATGTTACTATTTGTTTTGGCCTATAACTGCTGTGTTGCTATTCTTGTAAACTGGTTTATTGCCTATATTGGTAAATTGGGTTGCACTGCAAACTACTTTTTCTTTACGTGGTAGTCTCGTTTCGTGTGTTTTACTTTTTCTTTGTCAAGTTTTTATAGGAAAATTTGCAATCCAAAGTACAGTACACTAGTATTTTAATACCAGAAAGGGGAGAGAAACTTGGATGCCTAAAGGTGAAGGTTAATTCTTAAATTTTGTATAACTCTTCTGTAGACACTATATTTCGGTTGTTCAAATTATTTTGAATTGTATCAGGGGAAAATTCTAAGTTGGAAGAAGAAAATTTTGTCATGCTCAAGGCAAAGAAAAAAGTCGGTGTTCGAGGCATATATATTGTGATTAACAAGGCGTATGTAAAGTTTGGATTCTTGATTAGGAGTGTACTGGTTCTTTTCCTAATTAACCACACAAGGATGATAAAGTCAATGAGCCATAATTATTTGTTTGCTAGAAAATCTATTTGTAAATGCTATAATGTTTTCAATTTCTGCTGACTAATGCTTTGATGTTCTTTTTAACCTCTTCAGGCAGCTGGGAACTATTGTAGAGTTGGCAACTTTTGCATTTCTACAACTTCTTTCTTTAGCATGTACAACCACTGTGGCCAAGGTTATATACTCTTTTTATTACATGTGACACGGTTTTGCTTCTTGAGGAAAGTGTCTTTGTGGAAATCATTTCTCTATTCCTAGAGAAGAGGGATGTTGTGAAGAGGGGAAAAGGTCTTCCTTTGAACAAAAATTATATAGGTGCATCTCTTGTGTCTTAGAAAATCGCTTCATTTTATTCTCCTACATAAGATGTTCTTGAATCATTATTGTATATGTTTCAATTGTAGGTTGTTGCTCTCCATTGTTGCGTAGATACTCATGAGTTGATATGTCTTACTCGACGACATACACACGGGAGTTTGATTGACGATCATTCAAAGGAGATATATGTAATAATCTTTTATTTTGTATTTAATTTTTAATTACGTTTACATGTACTACGTATTATCAAAGATATACAATTCTACACAATGGTACTGTATAATTGTGGAATGTTTATGACTTATGCCTTATGGTATTGTATAATTGTTGAATGTTATGTTCCGATTCTCTTATGAGTGTGTTTGTATATAATATTTGGAATAATATTTTTTTTATAAATAAAATAGAATTAGAGGCGGAATATTTCCCCTCTATTATAGTGGCAGAGAAATCCTCCTCTAATTTTAGAGGCGAATAAGTCCGCCTCTAATTTAGAGGCGGACATTTCTGCCTCTAAATTAGAGGCGGAATTTTTCGCCTCTAGAATTAGCAGCAGCGTGTTTAGCGGCAAAAGAACTTCCGCCTCTAGGTCCCTGCTAAATTTCTATTAGCGGCGGAATTTGTATGATTAGAGGCGGGGTTTTCCCCCTCTTTTCGCAATTATTTTTGTAGTGTCACAAATTTACTATTTGTGAATTTCAATATAAAAAATTAAATAGTCTACAATAATTTTAAAATGAGAACTTAAATCATAAATGGTAAGTTTGTGAAGATTGTGACGGTTTTGTTTGTGAAGTTAGCATTGCTTTTTCCTCTTTTTCGTTATATGTATAATAATAAAATGCATTTATGTATTACCATAAAATGCACACTTCTATATATAATCTGAAGTCAAAGGCGAAAAAATGGAGTCAACATTTCACCTTGTTTAAGCAAATTATTGATTTTTTAACGTTATTCTTTACGAAATCTAACTGCCAAATTTGTTATCTTTAGTCGCATATTCTTTTTTCCCGTACAATTAACTCTATTACGAGTAAAATTTAATAGTTGTTCATACATACTTTCCCAATTTATTTAAATACAAAGAGTCAATACTTTCACCAGAATTCAAACATTTGACTTCTCATTTAGGTCACATTTATGTCACTTGGCAAATTATATACTACGTATTTATTTTCAAAAGAAACTGTAATAATTGTGTATATATGCATGCATTTTTTTTAGTACGAACAAGAGAGAAAGGTGATTTTTTGGTCCCAAAATAAAATTTGCAATTTCACTCCACAAATTTTTAAAAAAAATATACGGAGTATTAAAGTTTTAAAATTACTCTGTCACAAGTTTTAAAATTACTCTGTCCCAATTTGCAATGTCACTCCACAACTTGCTATTTAATCATCAATCATAAATAAAAGGTGAGTAAACTATATAATTGATCTCCTATAAAAAAGAGTTTTTTTTCTCACTGATGGTGTAAATTTCATCGGATAAAGTAAATAAGTAACCGATCGGGTTAAGAAAACTTAACTAGGTAAGAAAACGATAAACAAAAAAGTAAAGAACACACAAAGTACGACTTTGACTGAAGTAAATCTCCATAGTCTGAATATATTCCTTACATTCTCTATAGAGTGTACTCAATTTTATAGGCATAGAATTGAAGGCCTCTCCTCTCTCTATCAAAAACTATTTATAGAATATAGGAGTAAGTAAGTGCATGGAAGCTACTAATTTAAAGACAAACAAAGAGACATCATCCATCATCTTGCAATCAAAATATATATATTGATTGACTACAAATCTACTGTGATGCCAAAGGAGTTTT